CCCAGTGCCGCTTCCTCTTTCTCCCTGCCGGTTGCTCTGCTGGCTGCGGGCGCGGCCCAGGCGCTCCTAGGGAGGCCCGGCCCCTTTGCCCCGGGGCAGCGCTCCGAGCAGCAGTGAGTGTGACCGCATGTGAGATCTGATCCCCCCCCCCCCCCGTGATCCCCACACACCGCACAGCCCAAGGACCTAGAGCAGGCGTGGTCAAACTCCCCACCCCTCAGAGCCACATCTGACAAACTACAATTGGGCTGTGTCTACAGTGGCAAGATTGTGCGCAAAATCTTGCCACCTGTCTACACTGGCGGCAAGTACTTGCACAAGAACACAGACTTCTAGGCTACGTCTAGACTGGCATGATTTTCCGCAAAGGCTTTTAACAGAAAAGTTTTTCCGTTAAAAGCATTTGCGGAAAAGAGCGTCTAAATTGGCACGGACGCTTTTCCGCAAAAGCACTTTTTGCGGAAAAACGTCCGTGCCAATCTAGACGCGGTTTTGTGCAAGAAAGCCCCAATCGCCGTTTTCGCCATCGGGGCTTTTTTGCGCAAAACAATACCGCGTTGTCTACACTGGCCCTCTTGCGCAAAAGCAAGATCTTACATGAGATGGTCAGTGTTCTTGCAGAAATTCAAGCAGCCAGTGTAGACAGCTGGCAAGTTTTTCCACAAAAGCAGCTGCTTTTGCGGAAAAACTTGCCAGTCTAGACGCAACCCTCATGTAAGAAATCAGTGCTTCTTGCGCAAATACTCTGACACTCCGCTCAGGGATAAGCCCTCTTTTGCAACTGTTCTTGCCCAAGAGGCCACTGTAGATAGGCAACATTAATTTCTTGAGCAAGAAAGCCCGATGGGTAAAATGGCCATCAGAGCTTTCTTGCACAAGAGAGCATCTACACTGGCATGGATGCTTTTGCACAAAAGCACATCTCTTGTGCAAAGGCACATGCCAGTGTAGACGCTCTCTTGCGCAAATACTTTAATTGCAAAAACTCTTGCGTTAAAAGTATTTGCACAAAATCATGCCAGTGTAGATGTAGCCCAAAAGTTCAGGAGCCAGGAGGCACCTGCAAGGACTCTCCTGCCCCAGACATTGGCTGCCTGGTTACCTGGTGCCCAGTGCCGTCCTTCAGCATATACAGCTGCGAGGGCACTAAATATGGGGCTCCTTGTGCCCCAGGCATCTGTGTGCTGTGTCTGCCCCTTGGAACGGAACAGCAAGGCACGGACAGCCAGCCCCGTTCTCCCTCCACCTGCTGCTCCCAGGCACCTGTTCTTTCCCCTTCCTG